ATCCCAAATTGCATATGGGGATTTCGTGTTGACAAACACCAAATAACCAAAAACAAATTCTTATAAATAAAAAGAATACTTTATCTGGAAATCAAAATAATCGTCGTCCATTTGGTTATTGTCGCTTACTAGTTCAATAAAATCCGAAAAACGTAACAATTTGATAGATTGAAGAGAAAATTTGTTAAATTTTAGAAATTTTTGGAATTACGTTGAAAATTACTCTGCAACCTATCAAAAGCCCTTTTGCGTCAAATATACAAAATTATAGTATTTTCCAACAATATTGTTGTCTTCGTTAGGATAAATTATCAGTCTCTTGTACAAGTTCAAGCATCATTGAATTACTTATTTATTAATATAATAGTTGTACATTTCTTCTATATAAGATGGACAACTACTTTTTTTTGGCTGAAATTAAGGCAATACGTAAGGGAAAATTACAGTTTTCACCCCTCAAGTTTGCACTAATTTCACATTTGGTCCGTAATGTTCACAAAAAAATATATTTGGTCCATCACGTTTCAATAATTTAAAATTTGTCCTTTCCTTCAATTTACCATTAGTCGGATAGTTAAGGCAATGATAGATACACATTTGATTCCGTTAGTACTAACGGAAAATTAACGGAAATGACTGAAAGTGTTTAATTTTTGAAACATGAGGAACCAAATGTAAAATCAGTGCAAACTTGAGGGATAAAAACTGTATTTTTTTAAATATGAAAATAATGAAATAATAAATAAACAAATCCATGAAAGGCTTTAAATTTTAGTAAAGAATATGTATGTGTACGTACCACTTGTACTTGTCAATTCCACACTTGTAGAATGATTCAATCTTGATCAAAAAATTTGCAAGTGAAGCCTCTCTTCTTTCCGTTGGTAATTCTGACAGCAACATAAATAAATTAGAATTTATATATACATATAGAAGTTTGTATGCATATAATATTTCCAAAAAGAAAAATAAATAAATATTTTTTTTGTGAGATTTCATATACCATCTGCTGCTTGAGTCACAAACATCAACAAATTGCTTGTCTCCTAATTATCCTTTTGTAGTAGGAGTTTTTTAATTTCAGTACAATGACCTTTGGCTTACTTACTTTCTATAAAATTCGTGCATAAGGCGGATACAAGTTATGTATCACGGACGCCAGAAACATCGACTCGGGTAATCGGGGAAACAATTTTTCTGGAAAATAAGGATATGGGAGCTTCGGAAAAATGCGTAAAAATTAAAATTATAGGGTAAATTTATAAATATACTATATATACATATACAAGTTTTTATTTATCTATAAATTATTTTTATATATTTTCATAAACATATTCAAAATAAATTTTACTATCAACAATCAATTTGCAATTGATCATTAAATCGTGTAAATAATTAGGAAAACAACATAAATATTTGAAAATTTGATATTCAACATGTTTCTAACTTTTTAGAAATTGCAAAATTACCCATAAGTTTGGTAGGTGTCCTCGAGTGTTCGATACGAAACGTGTCCGAAACGCGAAAACGTTAAGAAGTTAAAGTTGAAGTTTTTGTACTACATAGGATACAAGTATACTTATATTAGATAAACCAAGATAATAGCCAATATTGTCACAATTGCGGATTGCTATGAGAAATAATTTGGCAAACTATAATTCAAGAAAAAAACACAACATCATTCAATCATATACACTTTATATAACCTTTTTAAATTATATAATACCAGTCATTGTTCCTAGACTTGCCTCCCTTATTAACCAATTACCACCATCAAGCTATGATGCACGGACACTGATACGTGGACACGGCGATACGCGGATACGGACACAGTGATACTGCATTTCCAAAAAACTAGAATACGGACACGCGGGGATACGCGTAAACATAAACAAATATAGGGGTATATTTAAAAATTATTAAAATATAGGAATACATTTATAAATTGTAAAAATATATTTATAAGTCACCAAATCGAATAAGAGAGCCGCTCGCCCTTGCTGTTGGTGTTCTTGGTCACCGTTGTCGCTAGATTTTTGGACTTTGGGTGGACTCTCAAAGAAGACAGGCAAAAACCCGATTTTTCAAACCTTTACACTAAAATCGTATAGATATGGGACCGCCTCCGCCTTGGAGACCGATTAATCGGCCGCCTCGGCCAATTTTTAGAACACTGATTTATATCATAAAAATGTAAGGGTAAAACAGTAACTACGCTATATGAACTAATGGTGTTAGAGATTTGAGGGTTGACCGTTAAGTTGAGGGGCAATTTTGTCGCATTTTGTAGTACAGGGGATATACGATATTGATGATAGTCAGAGGTGCAGTTTGTATTTAACCCTAAAAAATATCAGTACTCTGGGGTGGAAATTTGAACGGGATTTTCGATTGTTGTCAATTCCTATCAAAAAATATTAGAATTTGGAACCCTTTTTTCTTCCGATTTTTTCGATTATTTTTTGAACGAAATTGGAATCGCATATAAAATATCGAAAAATCTGATTTTCGATCCAATTTTAGTTTCGAAATATATAATATAATTTTCTATTTATATTATTTTTGGTTGGAAATACCTTTAATTTTTCGATCCGATTTTAGTTTCGAAATATATAATATAATTTTCTATTTATATTATTTTTGGTTGGAAATACCTTTAATTTTTCGATCCGATTTTAGTTTCGAAATATATAATATAATTTTCTATTTATATTATTTTTGGTTGGAAATACCTTTACGCAAGTGCACGTATCATACAAGTAATATAGTGGATTAAATGTCCGAGTATCGATCCCACGAGGAATAATGCACTTCCTAAAACTAATAGTCCGTTAGAAATCTATCGGAGTAGCGTATCCAATGCATTTTCCCGTTAGAGTTTCTAACAATGTTTAGGGGGTGATTGTAATTATCGATATCACAAAAATCTTAAAGTTATTTTAGCATATTCCAAAGGTGTAAGTGTAATTTACCCATTTATTAATGGTATATTAAGGATTTTGTTGATGCTACACCCAGTGAAATACACTTGGTGAATCTTATCCGGGTATAGTATTTCATAGACCGTGCACTTTAAATCATTAAAGGAAAGAAAAATGAGCAGATCTACAACATGACAAGTGTATTCATGAAACTTCTATATGCCGGCCACATTTAAGTGTGTCGTTAACATATATTGTTTCTCTCTCTACAATTTCAAGACTCTTTTGGTAGAAATACAGTAGAACCTTTAGAACAGGTCCGAGTCAAATAGCAATGACTCAAAGCATTTCTCTTTTACGTTGTTTCGGAAATCCAAATACTCAATCATATGTAAAATACATGAATACATTAACAATCTTGTTTAAATAATATTTTCTAATACGACTAGGCAAATCCGCTATCACTGTATATTGATTCATCTCTTTGTGATCTTGTGCCGATTTAGCTAATTCATCTGCCACCATGTTCCCCTCACGATAAGTATGCACCACTTGCAATCATCTTTCTTGAGCAATCTTGATGAATCATATCAATAACCAATTTAGAACCCGACTCCACAATAACCTGTGCAAAACCCATCTCCTGACATATTCATAAACCATCTAAAATAGCCTAGGCTTCTGCGAAAATATGTGTGCCTTGCCCGTAGAACTTCAAGAAACCGCGAATAAAGGAAACACATGGCTCCGAAAAATCCACCACCCGGGTAAACTTCCCCTTTCCCAGAGGCATCTACGTTAACCTTGACTTGAAATGGGGGGCGGAGGGAACAAAACAACATCATTCCATGAAAAATCACTTTTGGTAAACCATAGTTATTTATGTATATGTGAGATTAAGGTGGTGTTTGCTAAAATTGTTTTTGAAATAAACTATGAGCTTTTTTCTGTATATAATTGTTTTTAGGTGTTAGCAAAACAAATTTTTGTTTGTGCTTCTCTTAAAATAAGCCTGTTTGGCTATAACATATCATATCAAATCAGAATAAAAATATTGCTAGCAACTCGAAGACTATGACTACATATACCCCCTTGTAGCAAATTCAGAAGCTACATTACCCTTGTAACGAGGTCAGAAACTGCATAACCCTTGCACATGTTTTTTGTATCTAGTTGATTTTCCTGCTGAATTGCAGACACCCCAAACTTTTACAAATAAACACTTCATCCCAACTTAACTCACGGTCACTGACTTCTGTTTTTAATTAAGATTTTGCAAACACCACCTAAACCTTCTGTTTAGTCTTGCGCTTCACCAAAACTATCGAAGTCAACTATGTTCCATTTCCTAAAGCAGTCGTCTTTTGGATTCTAAACAAAAACAAACAGTCGGTACACAAATTGAACCTCGTCATTTGGCAAGATACACAACGGGGTAAAGTAATAATAAAAAATTCTTGATAAACACCTCCGAGTGTCGGATAGATAAGAAACAGTGACATATTTAGCCCAAGACTTGCACGCCATACTCATTCCAATTCCCGATATCTAACCCAATAGTAACATTTTGAGGATAGTCGAAACACGCACGAAGACATCCCTCTAAGAACTCCCAGTCTAGGGCAAAGCGAACCCTCCAAATATTTAGGTTGTTACATCTTTGCATCGGCTTCTACTTTTCTCTCAACTTTTCGGTTTTGTTTTGTACGAAGAAGGATGGGCTTGTTTTTTATACGAGGAAGGATGTCGATAAATCCTAATAAAAAATAAGTAATAAGTAATACCTAGGGCTGACTATTATCTTATTTATAAAGGGGCGGCTAAAACAAAGACCAATTCTTTCTCACTTCAATACCACCGCAATAAAAAATAAGTAATAAATAGGTAATGAAGTTAATACCCTTACTGTAAATCAATATCTCACAAACACAAATGGAAAAGTTAATGGAGCCATGGAAACATCTTCTCTTAGCAAAAAATTATGATTCAAAAGAATGACTAATTTTAATAAACAGTAACCTATGGATTCTAAGCAGAAACAACTTTAAAAGAAAGCAATATTATCCGGTACAAGTGAGACTAAACTTTCCGTGTAGACCTCCGCTTCACGAACACGATCACGGTCAAAGTCAATTGTGTGTCGTTGCCTAACACACCGTCTTTCTTATTGTAAATCAAAAAATCCGATCCGGATGTAAACATAATCTCGCCACTTGGCAAAAGAAACAACGGGGTTACGCGATTAAACATTCTCGTGAATGAAGAGTTCTCAAAAACGGATAGATAAGATATAGTCAACAATCGTGACCACGAATCTTCCACCCCGTATTCGTTCCAAATCAATATATCGAACCCTACGGTTAGAGCGCAGTCGAAAGACATACAAAGACATCCCTTGAAAACTCCGAGCCTCGGAATGTAACAACCCTCCATACAACTAGGTCGTTCCACGGTTCCGAAACTCTCGTTCGTCAAATCGAAACAAACGATTTCCCATTTCAATTTCGTTTTATAATAGTTTATCCAATGAAGCTTCCCACTCACAAATTTCCCTTGACCTATTGTCCATCTATCCTCGAAGAACGCGTTAACTCCCCAAGAATCGGTTTTGAAACTATACACTCTCGCCACGGATTTACTAGGAAAACCGACATCTCGATCGTACGGTGATGTCATCGAAAAAACGGCGTAAACCTTGTAATCACAACTACTCTCATCGAATCCAAAGCCATATCCACTAATAGAACCGAGATTCTTCGGGCATGTCGTTCCGGTAAAGAAGTCGGGCAATTCCTTGAACTCCCTTGTCGAAGGATTCAACAAGAAAAACCGACATGCGTCGACTAGAACGCAGATCAAACCGTTGCATGAACCGACGATAACTATATCTCTCGAACTATTCATCGGAAAGAAATTGAAAGAAAAGGCGCGAGTGACCGGTTCGGTCAACAAGGAGGACAGATAACATGCCTTTAGTCTGCCTGGACACGATGATTTCGAACAGGTTGAGATGATTCTTTTGTCGGTGAAAGATTCGATCTTTTTCGAGTGTTGGAGATGGGTTTCGATGAATTGTTTGGTGGAGATCAATGAACGCCATGATTGGGAAACACACTTGAATCTCAAGAGAGATTTTACTGGGAGTCTGTACAATATTTCTTCGATGATTTCTTCCGGAAGATGATGGCTGATTTGTTCAGCCTTGCCGATCTTCATTAGCGGCAGCGGCGGCGGCGGTGGTTTATGAGTTCGGCCGTACGAGGTTCTTGTCGTACGATGAAAGCCACCAAATTAGGGTTTTGTTTTCCCGTTTTGGGGGGTTTGAGGTTGTTGTGTTGTACAAGGAATCCAGTCTATGGTTTGGATTAGGGAAACCCAAACACAATTTTCTTTTCTTCTTCTTTATTATTATTTTGTTTCTTTTTTTAGAAGACCAAACACAAATTAAAATAAATTAAAAATGATCCCAATTCCCAACTCATTCACTATCATTTAGCTCAAAATTCAAATGCAAATTCACCTGTTAGAGTATATATATTTTGCATGTATATATTATATATATTCTTTTTAAGAAGTTAAATAAATATGCCATTCAACTTGGAAATTTAGAGGATACAAATAAACAATATGGTTCATAATATCTGCAAAAACATTAGAGCTACAAGGACCCCAAGTAGATAGTTTAACAATTTCACGAGCTGCACTATTCCCTTCCCTCAATATATGATAAGGGTAAATTGTTATTTGGGTGTGTATTTCGAAATGGGAACCAACAAAATTTGGACAAAACTTTGACACGAAAAGAAGTAGTCGATGCAAGAATTCGGTTCTTTCTCCTTAAGACAAATTTTCCCCGTGCAGTGTTTTCGGTTTACGACAATTGTCTCTAAGATACAATAACTATTTCAGTTCCAACAAAGTAGCACAACAATTATTGGAACACGGCGAACAAAACGACGTTTAGGACTTTATAAGACACGAAGAAATGGGACTTTATAATTGCAACAATATGCAATGAGAGGCTATGATAAGAAGTGAATTCAATTAACGTATTGAATTCCATGTGAAAAATGAATGATTCAAATGGTGGATTTTGGAATCTATTTATAGATTTTCAAAGGTTATGACCACAAGTCACAACCATTAGGAAAATAATTTCATGAAAATGTATCACACCTTTTTCTCATTAATTACACACCTATTCCATTTAATAGGTGCTTAAACACCTCCATCTTTTCCAATGGTGGCATTTCACTTCTTTATTAATTTCCATACTTTATATTAAGTGATTTTATTAATTTCTCATTCATTAAAATTAATTTTGAGAAACTATATTTAATCCACTTAAATAATCAACAAAAATTGAGTCTAAACACTTAAAATTTCCAACATAAATTACGGCCAGCCCCTAAAGAAAGGTTAAATTACAATAAACCTCTTTTAGGGTAATTACAATCACCCCCTCAACTATGAATCTTATTACACGTTGCCCTTATGGTGTCAAATTGAACATAATCTTCTAGATTACATGGGATGTTCTCTAGTTTGTACTCGTTTTGTGCAAAAATGTTTTAGCTTCGATTAGTTAAGCATTAGTTGACTTCAGCCGACGTCCAACTTTTTTTCTTTTAACTATTTCTTATTTTTCCGGCAACGGGATGCCTGAGCTCTAATTATAGCTAACTATGCATTAGTTGAGTTCGCATTAGCTGACATTCGACTTTTTTATTTATTTTTCCTTTAAACTATTTTTTTCAGCGGCGAATATTTAGGCTACGATTAGCTGAATGTAATGTTGAAGTTAACTCATGCTGAGTCAGCTAACTAGAGCTCCAAACACTCACCACCAGGAAAAAAATTAAAAGAAAAAAAATTGAAAAGTTAACTAATTTTGAATTTAACTAATGTTGAGTCAGTTAACCGGGTCTCCGATGACCCAGGCCACCGCCGCAAAGATATTAAAAAAGAATTATAATAATAATAATAACGGAAAAGAAAAGGTCGGGTTAGACCGGGTCAGGTCGGGTCGGGTGGGATGGGATATGGGTAGGTTGGGCTTATCTAAAAAAGAAATATGTAAAGCTACTTTGAGAATTTATATTTTTGTGGGTTTATTTGAAATAAAAGTAAAAGTGAAAATGTATTTGTAGTAAAATTTCATTCCATGCACCTAGCTCAAATTCACTCAATATCTTATCATATCATATCATCAAAACACAAACAAAACATCCTTTTAAAACTCCCAATCTCGGGCAAAACTTAGAACCCTCCAAACATCTAGGTTGTTCCACAATTTCAAAACTCTGTCGAAACTCGAAACAAACAATGTCCAGTTTCAATTTCATTCCAAGCTTATTACTTATCTAGTGAAGCTTCCCATTTACAAACTTCCCCGCTTCAAAATATTTCGAATCATCATACGTACGGAAACCCAACCTTAAACAACACATTACCTAACCAAGAATCAGCCTTCTTTATATTATACATCGTTCCGATAAACACACCCGTAAACCCATAAAACCCTCCGAGGTAAAGTCTATTTACGAAAAAATTCCTCAATGTTCCATAATTATATTCAACTCCTGTAATTTGTAGATTCCTTGCATTAGCACCATTTTATAAGGAATGCATGTAAGAATTTACAAACTGCAAGGGACTAAATGCAATTTCTCAAAGAAAATGGGCTTTTTGTAATTACACTTTATTTCAGGGAGGTGATTGTAATTTATCCTATCTTTTTAGGATTGTAATCAGTATAGATGGTTGGCAATATATTGCACTCTCTAGCCGAAGGATTCAACAAAAGATTGGAACAAAAAAATCGAATTATGTTGGTTTCGATTTAATTTTATTTTCTTATTCAATGTTATTCGTTCCAAAATTTCATATTTGTCCGTCTTTTTTTTTTTTATCAGAATTATAATCTACATATGAGATTTTGATTTCCAATCTAATTTTAATATTCAAAATAATTCTAAAAATTCAATTAAAAAATTCCAATTACTACACTTGTATCATCAAAACTATTAGGTATTTTGTATTAGATTTTGTTTGAGATAGCCCTCTCACAAACTTACATAATGTAGTTTTAATTCCAAATTATTTCTTCTACTTATTTTATTAAGTGCATAAAACTGGCCATTTTATGTGCTTTTCTGTTATTGTTAATCGCATGAATCGGAAGATCAGATTAATAATTAGAACTTTGGTAGCAGAACCTTCGTTATGCTATCATAAGAATATAGTTAGCCTCTTAGGTAGCCATTATTGAGATCTATGATTAATGTTGTTTTCTAGATCTAATTGCGTAGGAATACAGTAATTTAATTTAGAACATTAGAATCGTAATACACGCAGAAGCGGGTTATCATTAAATTAGCATCTCAGGTTAGTAATCCGAATTAATAACTTGCATAATTGAAGGAATTGGGGAATTAATAATCACATAGGGGGGAGAATAAAATATTAGGTTTGCTTTATCTAATTAATCTTCGTGTTTAATTGCTTTCTTACTTTTGCCTGTTTAATTTATTTTTAAATCGTTTTAGTCAATTTAGCTTTATTAATCAACTTTCGACTGTGTAGGGTGGGCTTTGATAATAATTGATATAATTTAGCGTCTGAGATTAGATAATTAAATATTCTTTGTGGGATCGATACTTGGACTTAAAAACCCGTTATATTACTTGTACAATATGTGCACTTGCGTGTAGGTATTCCAACCAACAAATGCTGTTGAAATGACTTGGTCTAATCTGGACCAATGAAACAGCATGTAATATTGCATGTCCCCAAACATAAGTGGGTAAATTTGTTGGGTTTCAGGCACGTGTACGCAGCGGAAAACAAAAATTTTATGCGAATTAAACAACTTTAAAACACATAAGCACATGCCCGATAATTAAATCAATTAATTGCTTACCTTTGCGCTTCCAGCGAAATTAAAAACAACATACATTGCGTACCTTTGCGCTTCCAGCGAAATTAAAACAACATACATGCTTGATTACTTAATCGAAATTAAATCAATTAGCATGCTCGCCTTTAAATCAAATAATCATGCTCGCAATAATAAAACCAATTTCATGTAGTCACATAAAATCATACAAGTTTCTTATTAAAACGAACATGCATATATTAATTTAAACGTAACCGAATCGAATGACAATAGATTCGAAACATTACCTCTTGAAGCGTGAGGTAGGCGCACTAAGCAAAGCTAGATTGCAACGGAAACCAATCCGTGCAATCCGGGGTAGCAACGGCGATGATCCGAGCTACGGCAGCGCATGTGATTCACGCGCAGAGAAGATAGCTAGCTGCTCTTCCCACTCCTATTGATCCAACCTGTTTGCTGATCTGAAATTACAGCCTTGCTCCGACTTCAGTATCTCCATGCGTATTTACTGGATTAACAATTCCTTCTGTATGATGGTAGATTCATGAGTCGTGAAGCTGCTGTCAAAATTTCACGTCCATCGGATGACCGGTTGATTTATGGCGAATTTTCTCGCTGGGCAGCGCAGAAAATCCGAGAGCAGTTTTTCGGAATTGCCTTCTCGCATCTTCGATTCTTCGATCTTCCTCCTCTTGGATTTCACCTCGTATACTTCGATCTACTAAACACGTGGCACTAGACACGTAATAGTCAGAACAACGGAAGAAAAGAAAGAAGGAAAGGAATACCGAAAGAGATCGGCCAACGGGTGGCCGATTCCGGCGAATTTCCGGCGACGGCGCGGTGGTGGTGGCCGTGGGAGAGGGTGGCTGATCGAGAGAGGCAGCGGCTAGGGTTATGAACGTGTGTTCTCTTAGTTGTGTGTGTGTAAGACCTATAAATCAAGTATTTATATGTCTTGCATAAAACCCTAACGGGCTTAAGTTGGACAGGACCCAACAACTTAAGTTCGTTAGTTCTTTTACTTGCTCGTCTCTCTCAATTCAATGATCGGAAAATTGTAACGATTACATTTTCGGAATCATTATAATGTCCTCGTCATTACGAGTGCCAACTCTCGATTTCCAACTTTCCAAAAGTGGAAACCCTAATTCAGTGCACTTTCTAAATTTGGAAACTTCCCGATTTAGAAAGTCCACTAATACATTTGCCTATTCTTTTCCTTTTCTTATTCTCATTCATAATTCCAAATTACGAATGTTGGACCCAATCATATTGACTTCCAATCATGCAAAGATAAACCATTTTATCTCTGACCGTTTATTCAAAGATCTCATGTGCACGAGCAGTGTGACCCTCGATGGTTCAGGTGTAAGCTAGTCGTGGGCCCACAACTCTTTGTGGTCAAAACTCGTCCCTTAGAGTTACGATTAAGATGAAACTCGTTTCACCTTAATCACCCAACGAATCAAGATTGGCGTCTAGCAACTACGCGTCATGATTCCCTAGATACAAATGAAGTGCCTGCAAGAACCTTCAGATATAGTTAACGTACAGTACGGTCCCTTCGATACATATGTCCCGATCGAACTAGAGGCATTGGTTCATCGAGACCTCTTTATATGTTCGATGACGGTGCGAT